TACATAAATCTTATATATAAAAATTACATTTAAAAAATAACAAACTTCAAAAATCTTTTAAAAAATCAGGTGTTAAGTCAATTAATTAAATATTTTTAATTATAATATAATACAATTACCCCAATTTATTAAATTTCAAATCCAAATCATTCTCTCTCTCTACTCTCTATCCTCTCCCTTCTCTCCATCGGAGGCGACCATCTACTCCGACGGCCGCTTCGACGACAGTTCCGTCGGCCGCTCCGGTGACAGTTCCGACGGCCATTCCTGCGACTATTCCGATGATCACCCGACGCTCTCTCCGGTGGCTATTCACGATCCCTCTGGCAAACTGCTCCAATAACCACTCCAACGCATGCTCCGATTAACCTACCTACCCCATCCACCAATTCCCAACTTCCAAAAAAATTTCAGAATTTCAAGTCACAATCGGTCATAATTGGTCACAACAAGCACAATTAACCAGTCACAATCGATCACAGATGGTCACAAATGGTCACAATCGGTCACAACAAACTACCCGATAGTCAAATCGCGATCTGGTCATAGAACAAAAAAGGTTCGCGGCACCACCAATTCCGGTTGCAACCTTTTTACTTTGCAGCGGCACCGACTACGCCTCCACCACCACTACATCAATCCAATCAACCTTACACCCACAACCATTACCATCTCGACCTTGATGCTATTTCCAGGAAGTGGTTGAGCTTGTTTAATCTCAAAAATTAAATAAACTCCGCTGGTAGAGAATCCGAAGGATAAGAGCTCCACCGATCCAGCACTAGAAGTTTCGGCCGCCGCCTCCGTTACGAACAAAACCACCAACAAAATCACAATTTTCACTACAAAACCACATCTGCAGCCGCCGCCGCCGCCACCACCACTACAAAACACCACCGACAGATCCACCTCAACAAAAAATCGTCGGCGCAGCAAAAGGATCGTCATTGCAGCTGCGTTGAACTGCCGTTGTGCAGAGCTGTCGGTCGCACCATTAATGGAGAGAGGACATAGAAAAGGGAGGGGAAGACGGGAGGCGAGAGAGAGATGGGAGGGGAAGAAGACGAATGATGGCGATGACGAAGGTAGCCTTGCGGACGATGATGGCGGTTTTGGACGGAGGCGACAGAGAGGAAGAGAGAGAGAGAAGGTGAAGATGAGAAAGAAGGTGAAGATGAGATGGGAGAAAGGAAGATGATTTAGGATCAGGGTTAACGTTTGGGTTGGATGCGGGGTTGATTGGTTATGTAAATGAATTTATTTTAATAATATTAAAAAAATTAAATTATCACCTGATTTTTTTATAAAAAACTTTTAAACCTGAATTTTGAATTGTATAGTTTATAAGTAGGGTTTGAGATAATTTTCCCTAGGAATAATTTACTTTTTATTCTAATTCTTTTTCTTTTTAATGTTTATGTTTATATTTATATTAAAATATTTTAATTAAAATAAATATTATTGTACTCTTTTAAATGATTTATTTCTTTTTATGAATAAAGGGACTAAAAATGTCCATTAAGGGCTAATGATGCTAAATTGAAAAGTTGAGAACCAGGTTGTTATAGTAACCATAACTGAGGATCCAATGGTGTAATTTTCTCAAACTTTGTTGAATTTATTAATAAATTATTTAATATTCATTTGTTAAACATTTTCTTCATGAGCCCGTTAGAATTCCACGTCGAATAAAAGAAAACATAAACTAACTTATAAGGATTTTGACTACTTCTTTTAACAATGTTGGCATTTTAAGATAGAATCTTAAATTTTAACATGGTATCAGAGCTCATTAAACTAACGAGTAATTCGATCCAATTAAAACTAAAAAAAATAAGTACACGACTTTCAAGATTAATTTGCTCAAAATGAGCCACCATATTGCGAAAGAAGCAATGTTCTAAAATGCGTAATGCGTGGCGATGCGTTTTTGTCGAGCATCAAACATATACGTAATTATGTGTTTTCTAATTTTTTTAAAATTATTTTAAATATTCTAAACTAATAAATAAATAAATTAATGCATTTTTTAAACTTTTCATATATTCTTCAAATTTTAAAAATTAAATAAATATATATTGCTCAAAATTATAAACACTATAATTACCTGAACTTTATACTTACTCTTCAATTTTTCAACAAAAAACTATTGCTCAAAATCACAAATACTATAATTACTCAGTAATTCAATCACCTCCTCTTCATCTAAGTTATCTTTCTTATTACAACTCAACAATTTATATTACTTCTTGTAGAAGATAAAATATTATTGACAACCTCCTCATCAACACACAACCATCAATAATTCAAGGTTGTGCACTACCAGCATCACTTGCTAGTAAACTAGCCTAAGACAAAGAAGAATGAGACTCGGGCTCTGTGTAGATAGTTTGCAACTCTATGAAAAAAATCTGTTTTGATTTTGATTTTTTCAAAACGTCGAAATCCTATAGATTGCTGTATAATCCATGATTTGGGTGATTTAAGCTAATTTGATATTTGTTGAGCTCAATTTGCTGTTTTATTTTTTAAGTTATAAAATTAATTGGAATTTATCATATTAATTTTGACACAATTTTTAACACAAACGAGTGCTCATTTCGGCCTTTAAGCGTGCATATGCAGTCGACGAAATGAGTTTGATTGCATTTTCACGCGCATACCCCATATGCGATGCGTTTCGATAATGCATTGAGAATATGCATGCATATGCTAACTATACGTGTGCATTTTAGAACACTGCTTTTAAGATAGAACTACGAATCTAAACTAAACCAGATACACTATAATTAATCGTTGATTCTCTTGAGTTTGATCCAAATTTGTTAAATAAAAAATTATATTACATCTACGTTTCCAAGAACGGAAAGTGGCCATATTCCTTCAAAGTGTCAATGTAATTATCACAACTTGAGGAGAAATGAAATTCGATTTCAAAAGAAAAAACGTGTACTAAGAAAATGACATAAAAAGGCAATTAGATCTCTTGAAAATTTGTGTATAAATATACCGCCATTGTTTGATGGACATTATTTTAAGAAAATAGAGTTTTGAATAATGATTTTTTGGAGAATGTATGGTTAAAAAGTAAATAAAAATTTTAGATTTATGCGTAAAATTTTTTATTATATAAATGAGCAATTGAAAATGAGTATGAAAATTAAAAAATTTTAAAATAACAGTTATCAAATATGGCTAAAACTTATATTGAGAAGGCATGTGATATTAAGTTCCCGTTTGATCCTTATTATTATTTTTTTTTAAAAATTAATTTTTAACGCACATTTGATGAGTCGTACTACTTTTATCAACTTTTCATTCCAAATTCACCAAATTTTATCAAATCTACTAAACATTATTTTTTATCCAATATAAACGTAGGTTTAATAGAATTCGGCGACAACAAGAGTCATGAGCTAGAAAAAGAAACTCGACAAAATGGTTTTTTCGCCGCATTAGCTACTCGATTGAGGGATATAATTCGAAAAGGAAAAGTTGAAAGAAAAAAGTATGCAAATTTATGTGGATTGAATTATTTTATGAACCTTTTTTGGTGCTTAGATCAGAAAAAGTGGGTATATCATTGAAAAGCAAGAAGTTATATCCAATGCTTAAATTCTGTGGACCTTTTCTTTTTTTATCAACTATTAAGGTCGAATTGATACTCCCAATGCCTGCCCCCACTTGTATACTAGAAAAAGGGCATGTAAAAGGGTGAAAAAGGCTGGTAATCCACTCAGAGCCTCAGACGGTTGTTTCATCTGCTCCCAAACCGATTTTAGTCCCGAATTCAACCCAAATCCAATCTGCTCCGGGATAATGGTCATCAATCGACTGCAATAAAGCGTGCTTCAGCAATTTGAGTATGTCTTCTCGCATACTGAAACTAATTTGATTTCATCCGAAGGGTAGAAGTAGACTATTTTGTTAAAACTTTTATTGGGATTTTGTAAATTCACAGATATCTTTAATAGTACTTGTTATGTTCTATATCTTTGTATGGGCAATGCTTATTGCTATAAATGTATTTGTTTCTAATTTTATTCGTTCTGTATAGAATTTTACGTTGGGTTAGCGTTGAATTGATTTTGTTCTATGGATTTGGCTGAAATAATGTCCCAAGATAAGTAATAGTGTTGTATTCGACTGAGACGTGGTTGTTTTTTTTGGCTAATTATTGGTTGTGCTGTTAGATTCCACCTTTCCCAGTTTGCGGAGGGTATATTTTGAAATTGCGTTAGTTTTTTGTAGAAGAATATCTTGGGATTGTTGTTTCTTTTCTATTTTGTCCATCAATTGTTGTTGTATTTCTTTGTTTGTGCTGCATTTAGTCACTTGAATTTTGTTGCTAATTTTTATTGTATTTCTGTTTGATTAAATAGATTTGATCATTTAGATAAAATTTATGCTTGAAAGTTACTAGAAGCAACTTTTTGTTGATAATTTTGTCTTTTGTTGGGATTCTAACTTTGCTGTGGGTAGAATTCTCACTTTCTAAGAATCAATGATGCTGTAGTCAAATCTGTTGCTTTCAATTGGAAGTGGTTCATTCTTGATTATTGTTGTTGATATTTGGTTTGGTTTAAATAAATATCTCTCTCCTTTGATGCTCATATTTGTAGATGAGGTGATTATCATATTATTTGACGAAGATTTGTGTTAGTGGAGTAGGTAAAAACCAAAAAAGTATAGTATCCGTTATTCTTTTGAGCTTATTTTCCAGGGATTGGCTGAATAAAAGACAACTACTTGAGGGCTTAACTTTTAAAGATCAACCTAGGTCTCAAAATCTAAAGTCCGTCCCTGAATCCACCGCTAGTCAAACCATCGACCCTCTCTCATTGTCTATCTCTCTCTCTAAACAGCTAAATCTCCAATTCCTTCTCACTGATTCCAATTACTGAATGCAGGTATACTGAGAATTACATTTTTGTATCGTGTGTATATATTCCACTCCATGTTGAATAATGCTAATGTATTTTTGTGGGCAGTGAATGGCGATGGTGTTGCAAGCAAAAGACGCGCTGGAATGGGTTTATAAAGGAGAAGGCGCAGTCAATCTGGTTCTTGCATATTGTGGAAAATGTCCTGATTTTGTGTGTTTTCTCCTTTCTTTTTACTCTTAGCTTTTATTGAATTGACTGATTTCGGGTTTTATTTTTTCTTATCCTCTAAAATTTAAGATCTCTCTCTTGATATAGTATATCAATACTGGCTTTAACATTTGAATTTTAGAAGAGAAAGGACCCTTTTAGTTATCTATTGCTACTACCTTGATCAGGGAAAACTGATTCACTTCTAAATATTTATAGAAATGTTTAGTTTTTCTTCTTCCAACAATTGATCATTCAAATAATTATAATTATAATTATTTATACAATCTTAACCAAACTGGGCCTAGGTTTACCTGAGGAAGTGATTTTCTGGAGTTGCCTTGTTTTGAACCACTCTGGTGCATTATGGATATTTTTTGGGAGAAAGTGAAAATGAAAAACGAGGAATCTTCCATGTTTCAAATGTTGAATGGAGACTATTGTGAAAAATTTATAAATGATATGAACACATTAAAACAGTGTTCTAAAAGGCGTAAAGCGTGATTAGGCGTAGGTGTCAAGTTTCAAGCTTTACAAGCCTGGGTGAGGCCTAGGCATAAAAAATTGTTACTTATTATTATTATTATTTTAAATACTTAATCATTCTAAAAATTATTTAATAATTAAAATAATATACACCAAATATCTAAAATTATAAAATATTATATTTACTTAATAATTTCTACAATTAGTCAATTATACAATTTTCAATTAGTCAATTATACAAGTTTCAAGTTTTCGAAATGCAAAAGTTAAAGCATTTTTCATAGTTTCAAATTTCAACTAGACACGTCCTACTTAACAGATTTATAGAAATTTCATACATATTTTTGAAGTTTCCAACAAAACTATAGTTTCAAAGTCATAATTATATAATATATAGTATCGTAGGTTAAATCTTTCTAAATCTTTATTGGATAAAGTCATTTTTGACTTTTGTACAAGTAAAGTCATTTAAAAATTTAAAAATAAAGTCAAATAAAAGCATTAAAAACATAATAATAAAAAATAAAAAAGTTAATAAACTAAAGTCAAATAAAAGGTTATTTGAAAAAGGGAAAAAAATTAAAATTTAAAAAAAATCAATAAAGCGCGCCTATGCACGTCACCACTTAATTCGAGCTTATTGTCGAAGGCAAAGCGTTTTGCCTGCACCTAGGCATGCCTAAGCGCCGCCTAAATGCACTTTCTAGAAAACCTCATTAAAGAGGGAGGCCACAGATCTCCTAAGTACCAGAAGAATAATTAGCCTGACATTAATTTTTTTCACCTGAGGGAAAATCTTTTTGTTGGATTAAAGAACAAGACGAAATTACATTATATTCTAAAATACAAGTATGGAACGCATAAAAAGAATTTTGAAGCGTGAAGTTTGTGGTATGAGTAAATAGTTTAGGTATATTAATTTCTGAATTCCAACATTTTATGTCCCATCCAGGTCGGAAAAGTTATACGGATAAGAAAAGTTCCAAGGAATGGATCTGAATACAATGGTGATTCTGCTCTTTCCACGCATGAATGCCTCCTATGGGGGGAACTTGAAGGCATTGTTTCAGAACCTACGCGGGAAATTATAGAGCAACTATATGTGAAGCAAGTAATGTGCCCGTTGTTGGGTTCCAAACATGTTGATGCCGGGGTAATTTTTTATAGCCTTGTTGGTTCCGAAGCTAAATATTTTTGCAGCTATATTGAGTCCTTATCTCCCCCTGATTTTTGTTTTTTCAATATACCTTAAGATCATTACCGCCCTCGTGGTTTATAAATTTACTCAATTGAACATTATACTGCTACATTTTGCCTTGTTGCTATACTGCTCACTTATCCAGGAGCACTGTTTGTTATAATTGTCACTGTTCACTGACTGTTTTATCCTTCACACCATGTGATTCTTTCTCTTCCAATGGTGACTTGGTGAGGTTTACGCTTAACTGATATAGTATATAACATGCTTTAATGAGGCATAAACTCCAGTTTGTTATTGTGTTACACGTTATATGGAAGCATTAACAATTGACCCTTTATTCTGGCTGTTTGAGTTATTAAGATTAAATAAAACGTTTGTTATGTCTCCTTGTTTCAAATATAACAATTGAATGATGAACGAATTGTTGTCTAATGAATGAAACATGAAATTGACGATGGGTTTGTTTTGTAATCAACATCATAGTTCATAATATAATCATTATAGCCAAGGATAACTGAGACATTGAGTTTGTTTTGTGCCGTTGTCAGATTCGTGTTCTTGTGTCCAGAGAATTTTTGGAGGCAGTTGAAAACAAAGTTCTTTGTCAGCGTCCTTCTTGGAGAGTTGATGATGCCAAAGTCGATCCGCGATGTGATTCTGTGCTTTTGATTACTGATCATTCAATTTTCCCTCATGGTATCAAATTGTCTTCTAACATGCTTTTGAAAGACGAATCTTTCTCTTGCTAGCCTCAATTTATGGTGCACGAGCGTTACATATCTTTTGTACGTTATATAATTTGAAAAAGTCATGATCTTGTGTGCAGAAATTTATTTAACATTCTGTTGCATGCTTTTTTAGCAGCTTTAGGAAGTCCCCTCTCTCCCATCTGTTTTCCTACAGATGCTTTTTGTTTGTTTAGAAAAAAAGAAATTGTTGTACGGCTCTACAGAATGTTTCTTCATTGATATCTACCTATGCGGTATAGGTGTGCAAATACTTAATGCCTCTGTCAGTTGTATACTGATGTATTCTATGTAACCAATGTAGTTGAATGAAAGAATACGTAAGAACATGACTAAGAACTCAAATTGGAAATTGAGGATATAGTATTTAATAGATTTTTCTGAAAGTGCATCCTGTAAATTAATAAAAGGCAGGAGTTGAAAGTATCATGGAATGAGTCTGTAGATAAGGTCCATGGCTCTTACTCATTAGTGTAAAACCATCTTATTCCGCAAATTTGCCTTTACCTCATACAGTGCACATCATTGAGAGTTGAGAGAGACCTAGGCGATGTGGGAGATGCTACACGGCCCCTCAGCACAAGGACTGGGGCACTAGGCTCTCCCCTCCACAGAGGGGTAGAGAAACAACCCAGACCCATCCTTGGCTACCAAGATAAAGTCTGTGGTCCTAACTTGTCACTGTAGAACCGGCTTACAAGTTTACCTTCACCTTCACCTTGTACATTGTACATTGTACATCTCAGTAGTCCCCATGGATTTAGGACATGCTAACACGTGTTTTCAGTAGGAATCACTGATAGCTTTGATCTTTTTGATTTTTCGGGCGCTGCAGTTAATGGATGTCTATTATTAACTTAATTATAAGTAGTTTTTATCTAATTTTTAACATGTATAGACTAGTATAATCCAAATGAACATTAAAATCCTATCTAACACGATTTACTAAAGAAATGCATTAAATACATCTTGACAAATTTTCTGACATAACGTTAGTGACTTATGTTGCATTAATGATTTGCTAATGATGGTGTAAATTTTCAGTCTCTCGTATTATCAAAGAAGACTTCTGCGTGTCTGTTGAGATAAAGGTGAGTCTTGTGATATTCATATTCTATACTTCTCTTTATGGTATTTGTTTAGTGTTAATTCTTTTTGAGATGTATACTCAATAATTATTTAAACTAAAGAACACTCCCATTTCACCTTTTCTTCAACAGCCCAAATGTGGATTTCTTCCTATTTCACAATTTATAGCACCAGAAAATGCTGTCAAGAGAAGTATTACTCGTTTTGAAATGTACCAGGCTCTGAAATTGAATCAAGGGAAGGTAATATTAGTTTTTAGATATGTTCCTCCCTCTCGAGAGAATCATTTTGATGGATTTCTAAATGCAATATTTCAAGTTTTTTACTGGATTTACATTTCTTGAAATTATTACATTTATAGCTGTATCACATGTTTCTATGAACGTATTATTTAATATAGATAAGTTTCACATTTAATATAGATAAGTTTCACATGTTTCTGTACCAGATATCACATATTAGTAAATATGATCCACTGGATTTGTTTTCTGGATCAAAGGACAGAGTACAAAATGCAATGAAGTCCCTGTTGATGACTCCTCAGAACAATTTCAGGGTTTTCTTAAATGGTTCACTTATTTTTGGAGGCTTGGGTGGTGTTGCAGACTGTACAAATTGTATGGTTGACCAAGCATTTGATTATGCACTGAAGCATGTCATTCGAGCAGAAGATGGTATGCGCTCGAAATATTTCCTCGAGCTTGTTGCTGAATCAATTTACAAGTCAGGATTAGTAAATAGAGTTCTTGAAGTCCAGAAGCTTGATATTATTGACATTGAAGGGGCAATTCATTCATATTATGATATTGTTTCTCAGCCTTGTATGGTCTGCAGACAAAAATGTGAAAAGGAAAGATATGCATCTCTGCATTCAATTCCAAGGGATCAAAGCTTAAAAATTGTGAGGGACTACTTGATATCTGCTACCGCCAAGGACTTAAGTATGATGATTAGTTTCAAATCCAGAGAAAACGGGGACCTGGAGTCTTCATGTAGCACTGTCTATCTAGAATCAACCAATCAAATTTTTGATTACAAGGTGAACAACTTCTCCAAAATAATTATTACTATCAGCTTCTAGAAATAAACTGGGTGCTTTTAAGCATCAAATAAGATTCAATTTGATCTTTTAATTAAAAGTACACATTTCCTTTTTCTACAAAAATCTTCAATAAATTATTGGCATTATTTATTGAAATCATATTAACTTGAACTACATTACTAGATTTAGTTTTTCTATGTAAGTTTTCTCCCTCTTTCTAAAATTATAGTATTTTTATATGCTATGCATAATCACGCAGAAAAGCTTTTTATGCATATTTTAATGTGGAATGGCCTATGGATCATTATCACATGAAACCTCCTTTTATCTCCTGTTGCCTTCTCTATAAACATTTCTTATGTTGATAAACGTGTAGGAAAATAAATTTAATATGCCAAGTTGAAAATATCAGTAGTTTTAGAATTATCTTTATGCATTGTATCTATTCTCGTTTTATTCATGGCTCATTGAAATGGAAATTTGCTAGGCATCTTTTATTGACCTGGACATGAAACCATTGAAGAAAATGGAGTACTACTACGAGTTGGATCAGCAGATAGTCAGCTGCTATGTCAAGATGAAGAGAGCTGCCGAAGAAGTTGACAATAGTGAGAGCATCAAGGAAACTTCTCAAATTAATTTAATGTTTTGAAGATGCTTCCTGTATCAAACTGTAACATAATGCTGGTAATTTATAGTCCTTTAAACTGCCTTTCATGTTTCTACTAGTGTAACTAATATATGAGCTTGGCGTGCCATAGCATCTAAGTTTACTTTTTGGGACTTCATCGGCATCTAATTTTAGCGTCCCATTTTATGGTTCTATTGCCTATGTTGAGTTCTGGGTACTTTGGAACTGTCAACTTGTGCGTGTTCATGCTTGCGCATGTGTATGTTATGTGGGTAAAGTTTTACAGACACGACTTTTCTTAAGTGGAAATTAAGCTATTAGCTGGATTAAATTATTATTATTAATGGATGCTCAGACTGGGAAATAAATATATATCTGCATAAAGAACAGCAGAAATAGATCAAAATCATCTACAATCCTGATTTTCTCCTCACTTTTGATGTTATGCAAACTTGACCACGTGTCGTTCCTTCATTATCATTTCCTCTCATCATCACAAACTCTGATCTGAATAAACTTCTGTTACCCAATGAATATCTCTCTTGTTTTGGTCCTAACTCTGGCAATATCTAGCTAGAAGGACAGTTGATGCCTCATCATCAGAGTCTTTAGATGATCGATTTGAGAATATATGGTTGATGTGTTTGATTGAATTTCACCCACTAATTAAGGCCGTAGAATGTGATTGAGGGCACAAAATTAAGATGCATATTGTGCTCTCTCTTTAATATATATGCCATTTGTTTATGTTTGAGAATATAGATGATCACTTTTAGAATATGAGGTTGACATATTTGATTGATTTTGACCAAGGTGGTAGAATGTGACTGAGGGCACAAAATTAAGTTGCATATTTGTACTCTCTTTAATATATGTCATTTATTTATGTTTGAGAACATAAATCAGTAATTTGTCACTTGTCAGTGTTAAGGATATGAAAATAGTTTCATGTTGTTCTTGGATCTTTTTTCCGTTTTTCGTATTTTCTATTATTATTTTCATAATACTTTGATTGTATTATCCTTGTAATCTATAAATGTAATCTCTCTTTGCAATATACGGACTGAAAAGTTATGTAAGTTGTATTATTCCTTTCAGGTTTTGCCTCAACTATACTCACTTTTTAGTTCTTAACCATAATGATTTTTGCAGAAATTGGAGATAATTTGAAGACATCAGGAAAGACAGATGAATCAACTACTTTGCTACCTTCTATTTCACCCCACATGAAGAATTTACTCATACAGCTGGATATGTATTAACTTGGTATTCAATGCTCCCATTTTTGCAAATTCCCAAACTTGTGAAAAAAGATTACTGGCCTTTACTGAAATGACATGTTGGAATATGTACTTTACTGGAGGACTCTAGGCCTAGTCGACTGATAGTTTCTGTAAAATACCTGTATACTTTGTTCTGGAAGATGGAACTCATTGTGTTGTTGTATTGTATCATATCGTACTATACCGGATGGATTATTTATTCATGCTCAAGAGGATTGTGTATAGGAACGCGGTACACTAGTCTCATATATTCAATCTTAGTTAACATCATTGTGTTTGGCATTCTTGAATTGGACTGTTCTGGGTGGGATAAGGGAGGAGCTTAATTTCCAGTACTCAACTTGTAAGACTTGGGAGTTGGGACAGCCACATTCAAGTATCTTCTGCTTGAATCACTTACATTGTGGAGTTATTGCAGATCCCAGAACATAAATTCTATGCAGGCAAATGGAAATATGGACGAGTTTATTGTGCTTATGGTTGCAATGAAAAGGATTATAAGTTCTTTGCATGTATTTGAAATGACTAGGATTTCTGTCTGTATTAAATCGGCCTGTATACTACCTGGTTCATTTTATACCTTTAGCTACCGTGTGGTGAGAAAGGATGGTGGTTTAAAATGAACCGTGCTTCATTCCCCTACTAAAGGGAAATGGAAGGTTCATACTTCATACCCAGTGAATGTTAGATACAAATTGAGGACGAATTTCAAGAATAGCAAAAGTTACAAGGTTGAGAAAATTGATGGATAAATGTCTACAAAACTATTCAAATGGACCAAAAGAATGAATAGAATGTGTGCGTAAATTAGGTCTGCTCCATAAAGCAAGCAGTATCATATGATCACCGAGGAAATTTATGATATCTTGAACCTAATTTTATTAATAAACTTTGATAGATAATTATACATTATGTGATAAATCATGTGTACAACAAAGTAAATTGACGTTGATTCGTCGAAAAAATCTGCATGCATCCACTGATCCTGGGCAATCCATATGCCTAGTGAATGTTTGGTACATTATGCTGGAGTGGATTACATTAGATAGCATAATGTACGAGACTTCAATATTCTTATTTGATAATATTAGTACTATACACTTCACCTTGGTAAAGAAGTTCCTAAGTTTCAGCCAGTTATCCCCAATTCTGTATCATTCTTGCTTACAGTTTCTCCAGCTTCAGATCCTGACTAGACTGTAAATGAGTCCCTGCTATTATATAAATCAACAAAAAGACAAAGTTCATCAAATGCAAACCTGATCGATAAATTCTCACAAAAAAATTTCAATAAACTGTGTAATATGAAAACACAACTAACACAAGATAGTCCCAGTAAATAATATCAATTGAAGAACAAAAATGTCTATGCTAACTGTTCAGGCACCTCTAACCTAGGATTGCCATATTAAATGATTAATCCCAAATACAAGTTTCAGGGTAAATTACACTGGAGAAATCTCCATGGCATGTTTTTCGTTCATAATGTCCAATACTATCTAATACACCTTACCAAACATGCCACTAAAATAATCAGTTTCACGATGACTAGGATTGCCATTTTTTCAGCAATGGCGAGGAAAGTTTCTAGGTATAAAGAAGACAATGTACGCAAATGTACAATAATAAGAAACTAATCCATTCTCCACACACAAGCTTGACAGGCATCAAATAGCAGACAAATCAGGTATCAACATGTATGTTAGCATAGGTAATATTGTACGTCAATGTGAATATACTTAAGCAAATCAATTTGATTCTACGAAAGCTTGCTCTTTGATCCAATAATCCCGGACAAATAACATTCTTCAAACAGTCAATTATACTCAAATCTTAACCAAGATTTTTGCCAAATATCCTTAATGCTATTTAATTGTTACTATTTTCTCAGAAAAGCCTACCTTAAATCTGAATTTGCTGAGCCAGGTGTTGTATCTTTAGTTTCGGATCCTGACTCAGCAATATATGTGTCTTTCCACGGCCCTTTATCCAACTTCATACAACCTCCTTCATACATACAGTTACAGCTACCGCCTAGGAAATCAGGCAGCTCACTGCCCACAATGATTTAGATGAGTTGCAGAACCATTAGAGACTGAACTAGAATGACTGGCAAGACCAAATTGACTCCAGTTACCTTTCATCAATCATTTCGAGCAATTTGCTTCGATATTTGTTGCTAATAACCTAGAAAAATAAGAAAAACAGTCAGTTTTATCCATTACGCTGCTGTAACATACAATGACTTTAATTTACATGATGAACTATATGAACATACCTGAATCTTGGAAGCTCTATCAGGGTCAATAAAAGGCTTGATTGCATTCCAAAGCAGCTTAAATCCGGGACTAGCATTTATGATAAACATTTGGCCACGTGTCTGCAAAATTATTTGCTAAGGTCAACTCTGTTTCCTAGACAAATGAATTGATTGGGATTTTATGCAGTAGAAAACAATAAAGACTTGGATAACTTTTGAGATATACCTTAGAATCACTATCAGCATAAATCTTCCGCAGATGCTCAAGGACTTCTTGAGCAGGCCTGGTAAAACTCTTCAAGCCCTAAACAACAGAATGAAAGGCATGAAGCCAAACCATATAGAATTTCTTTTGAATGATGGCAATTGAATTATATAATTATTAACAAGAAGCTGTAGTTACCACTCCTTCAACGTCAAGAATTGTTGTACTGGAGTCAATGTGTCTGTTTGCAGCAGTGGAGCATGCTGGATACCTGATTGCAAGAGTCTTCTCAAACTCCTGGACTAGGTATTTCACATAACGAGTCAATGTTGTCACTTTCAAAAGTCTGTCCACGTTAACCTTACCTAATCGTTCGATGTAAATAGGCTTTCCCTGCTTGTCTACACCATGATAACCCTGAGGGTAGTATTTTCGAACTTCATCCAACTCCTTGAAGTCAAAATCCTGGCAATGATATAACCACTTGAGAGATAAGAAGCATGTGAAAGACGGATGAGGGTATGTGCATCAATATTATCAACTTTAACAACAAGCTCTTTCCAACATCATATGAGAAAATTATCACTTTTTTGGGATTAGACATGTGAGCTGGGCAGTAAGATCAAATCTATCTATTGCTTTGTAGTTCAATTTTTCCAAATCATAAAAGGAACGAGGAGTCCTAAAAATGCAGATGTTAGAAATATTTCTATTGATGTAAAGAACCAGAGGTCCAGCAAATTTAGCTCACTGCATTACAATTAGGTCAGAAACTATAATGCACATTTTTGAATTGGTTGGGGGAGACGTTTGATGCCAAATTATTTGTACAGACGCCTCATAAACCTTAGCATAAAAGCCTAAAATAGCAGCACAATTTGATAGCTCATAAGTAAAGAAGAATTTGAGAAAATACATCAAGGCAATAACAGGGGAAAAGGATAAGAGAAAGCCACCTCCACTATGGTATCAACACCAAAGTCTTGTCTGCAAAGAAGTTTGTCATTCAGCAGGTTTTGGCTTTTCATCGCTGAGCTTTCTGCCTTCAAAAATGTAGATCATTGAGAGCTGAGAATATAAATGACCTGTCTGTTTTGTGGGAATTACCATTATGAAGAACTGATACAACTACTTCAAGACGGACTTTATTTTATGCATAAAGATCTTAAGCAAAGAACAAAAGAACAAAATGTTGAGATAAACATGGGATAAAACAAGTAGAGAATGAATTTTCATGTTAGATGACAATGCTTAGATGGATCCATGATAAATCAAGAAGAGATGAGATTCAAAATGAGTATATTCATGAAATATTAAACTAATTGCATTGAAGATAAATTGCTGGACGAGTGAGTGACAAGATCCAGCCACAGGCAAAAGGTCATGCAAAAGAGGCTAAGGCTCGTGCAAAGCAACATGACTAGGCACCCTATGTAAACAAATCAACTTACAGAAGACAAACACGACATAAAAATTTCCTTCTTGTTATAAGGTTCTGGACCAACCCTGCACTAAATTTATTTTACACACAAGTGAGGCTTGGGTTACCCAAAAATGTTTGAAAATCACAATCCACCTCACTCAAGAGCGCGCCTGAAAATCCTAGAAAAAAGAATAGCTCTTTCTGCCATAACTCCGTCAGAATTCTAAAATAGGATCATAGCAACAAAATTGAAATAAGAATTGGGAATGTCATCCACCCCTTAAATTTTGGAAGCCTGGCTATCAACACCAGAAAGTTTTGCAAATTTTAGATTCTTGCTGTAGTCCAAAGTTTGCATGACGCATTTTGATGTCATCAGTTCAAGCTAGAATGCTTTAGAATTTGAAATCTATAATAACTCGAAACCATCCTGTCAAGTGTGATTGTTTTATTATATGAATTTGAAGCCATAGGTCCAAAGCGCATTAGCAAAGTATTCAGAAATTTTAACTCTTAGATGTTGAAGTATGAAGTAAGTCAAATGCCAAAAGGTTAAAGTTAGCATTTACCAACTCACGAGCAGCATAAATTCACAGTTTTAAAGTTGATTTTTTTTTAAATATCGGCGCATAACATGGAAAGTGAATCCTGGATAGCCTTTCCAACAGTCCCAATTCATACCTCAACTTTCCATAAACATAAAAATTTAAACTAAAAAGCAGTGTAAAAACTCATTATTCGTCAAATTCCAGCACCTCTGCACTTGTATGCGCAACACAGCAACACGAAATAACATATTAAAAAGAAACGAAACAAGAAAACCTTTATAATTGAACAATAAATTACTCCAATACTACAAAGGCGGCATGGTTCAGAAACAGAAAATAGATACGCACTCTGTATGTATAGAAGAGTAGAAACTCTGAATCTACGGCTTGGTAGAAAATTTGCAATAATCCAGTAAATTGCAGAATTCGGGGTTGAGATTGAATTCGAGTTGCGGTGCAGCCGTGAGTTTTGAGCAAGCAAAATGGTGGGGCTCAGCCGCCACGTGGCGGCAGAATCATGGTTTGATGCTATTTTAGGCGGGAATATGCCGAGGAATACCGAATATGGATCGCTTATAAACTTGCGGATGTAACCGTCCCACTTCCACTTGCGTTTTCAAATTCATATTAATAATGCCATGTACAAACGGGAGAATTGGTTAAACAACCTAATCAAACAACCAAACAACGTATACAGGGTCCGTTTGATTGTAAGGGTAAAAAATGAGTGGAAAAAAAAAAAGAATTCTAGGGAAAATAATTTTCTAGAAATTGTTTTCCAGAAAATTGTTAATTAAGTGTGTTTGATTGGTATAATTTTTCAGCAGGAAAATTTTTAAATTTTGTGTTCGTTTGTATCAAAATTATCCATTAAAGTGATAATTTTTTCCACACTTGGTTATAAAATTTGTTTCCATTGCCAAAAAGTAAAAAAAAAAAAATGTTTCATAAAAAAATATTTTTTTATTAAAGCTTAGTGTTCGTTTGGCCTTCGTTTGCATCAAAATTGTCCGTGAAAGTGAAATTTTTTTT